TATAGATATTCTAAGGCACAGAGAGTTTAAAGTAATTTGCTCATGATCACATAAATAACAGATTAATTTTGCAATCAAGTATAAACTGATATTAGCTCTTTATTTCCAGTTTTCTTCTGGCATTTTTGTTTATTTCTGGGGGCTTGGGGACCACACATGGCACTTCTTCGGGGTTAGTTCTGGCACTGTGCTCAGAAATGACCCTGGCAGTTTGTGGTGTTCTGTACCTGGTGTTGAGGAATAGGACCAGGGTTGACTGCATACAAAATAAGTGCGTTACATTTTGTGCTATATCTCTGGCCTTCTCCTGTCATTTTGTTGTGTCACAATTGGCAGTGCTCTGGGCTTTATGCTCAGGGATTACTCCTGGTGGTGCTCAAGGGAACCATATGGGGTGCCATGGATTGAACCTGAGTCAGCCGGGTGCAAAGCAAACCCTTTATCTGTTGTACTATTGCTCCGGGCCTCCTGTCACTTTTGAGGAATGAGTCTCCAAGTACTCTATGCCAACTTGGGATCACTATGATTTCTTGTTAGTTAGAACTACCTTTACTCTATGCACCTGTGCTTCCCAGAGAGTTTCTTGCTGAAGCAGTTGACCTGTGACTCCATCATCTCATGATCCTATTCTCTCTGCTTTTGGATACACCAGATTTCTCAAACTCTTAGAGAAACTGCATTTCCGAGATGGGATGCCTCAGTTAGGTGGGCGGATTGATGTTGGAGACTTTCTTCCAAAGAAAAGAAGCCAAGGCTTGTGGCTGAGACAGGGAATCCCTGGCTGACTCAGTGAATTGGAAAGCCTTTCACATCATTGTGCTTTTTCTCCTTTTGAAGTTCAGACATTGGCAAATATTTGTTTTTTCCCTATACCATCCCTTTTATGGAGCATAAAGTATGGAGAAGTTTTGGGCTATGACCTTATAGTCCCTGTCCCCATTGTCAGCTTTTCGTTGGCACGCTGGTGCTCAGGGAGCACTACATCCTTGGGGACTCTTTCCTGCAGTACTTTGCCAAGAGTAGGAAAACATGAATGAACACACATATGGATGGAACGCTCTGTTTGCTCTGTATATTAAGCGATGAGCTTGCACTGGGGAGAAATAAATATTACTCACCCCAGGTCACCCCGGTGGAGGTGGAGGCTGGCTTGGAACCCAATGAGATCTTCTAACTCTCTACTCCCTGCTCTCTTTCCTGTACATCCCAAGGGGCTCAGTATCTCCATCAACGGCCTTGGTTGAGCAAGATTTAAGTCTTTTCTTTCAAAGGTTGCCAGCCGTGTTGTATAGACTGTGGGGAGGTGGGCGGGGGGGGGGGGGAGGGTGAATGAAGAAGGCGTGATCCCTCTTCACAGAAAGGATTGTAATGAACTTCAGCTGTTGGGGCGGTTCACTCGCCATGTGAGAGTAAAGAGGATCAAAGAGACCCATGTGTCGCCATGGGAACTGTCCCAGTTTTATAATCTCCATTTTTCAAAGTCCCGAGCCTGAACACATGGAAAGCAGGGGCAATTCAGTGAATGGGAAGTGAGGCAGACTCCTAATGATTTAAATACAAGGTTTGAAGAGGGAAATCAGAGAGTGGAGAAATGTTTGGAACTGTTTTATGAATAACTGCTCAACACAGTTTTCCAGAATGAATAACAGTTGACTGCAGGTGAGAGGAAGAATTATGGTCCTGCATCTGGAAAAGATGCATGGCGATTGTGTATCTTGGCCCAAAGACATAGGAATGAGCTCCCTCCAGGGGAAGTGAGATAGCCACTTGCTCATGGGGGAGATGCGAAAAAGTTTTGAAAAGAGCTAGAAATGGGGAGATTTGTCACACTGAAAAATTGGTCACAAATTATTCCCCACCCAGAATGCTTATGACTTTGCACATGGGATCTCCAGGCCTAGAGGTTTCTAAACATGTTTTTAGGGGTTTGTTTTATAGTAGCAAATGTGAAAATCTGAAAAATGCTTCAGATTAGGGAAAGCCCTCTCTGCTGCTACTCTAGTTATACAGTGACCACTACCAAGTGAATAGGCCCAGGGAACCTGCTGGATGACAGGAGACACATGGCCAGAGATTTCCATCACCCCTGATGACAGCTCTGCAGGCACATATGAGGCTGTTGAAGGCTGACTGATCTCAGACAAATGTGTGGGTCCAGTTGGTCCCAGATGGAGCAGAGCCGAGCTGTCTCAGCTGGTCTCAACCCCAACTTTTGACCTTGAGAATCAGAAGCAAATAAATGATTTTCTTTTAAGTTGCTAAGTTTTGGTAGAGTTTGTTTTACAGCAAAACCTAATAGATACAAGATGCAACAGATTGATGGCAAAGACCAAGTAGGAGAAGGAAATTGTTCCCTGGATGTAGGTATAGAACAGGGGTTGACAAGCTGCTGCTCTTGAGCCAAATCTTGTTTTTGCAAATAAATTTTTAATGGAATATGGCTAAACTTATTTGTTTATAGACATAGCACAGCAGGTAGGGCATTTGCCTTGCACGTGGCTGACCCGGCCGACAACCCGAGTTCGATTCCTCTGCCCCTCTCAGTGAGCCCGGCAAACTACCGAGATTATCTCGCCCGCACAGCAAAGCCTGGCAAGCTACCCGTGATGTATTCGATATGCCGAACACAGTAACAACAAGTCTCACAATGGAGACGTTACTGGGCCCGCTCGAGCAAATCGATGAAAAACGGGAGGACAGTGACAGTGACAGTATCAGTGGCTGATTTTGTTCAACACAGTTCAGTGGCTATAATAAAGACCATCCGATGTGCAAAGGCCAGGTATTTATTAGTCATTTTTCAGAATATATTGATGAGAATATGCCAGTAATTGATGTTCAATCCAAACCTTCATTTAAATAGAAGCCAAGAAACACTTATTTTTAAAATCCTCAAATAAATACGGTTGATTTTTTAGTTATTAAAAAGTGACATGTGCTCAGTCTAAGGAAATAAAGCACTGTGGAAAAACATGGGTCAAAGTCACCTCTTACAGCTTCAAACCATGTCCTTCCATTCTCTTTCTGTCATTTTTTTCTCTTCTTTCCCTCTTTCCCTCTCCCCTCCTTCCCCTTCTCTCACTCTCCCTCCCTTCTTTCTTTCCTTCCCTCCACTCTCCCCTCCTCCCTCTTCTTCCTTCCCTCTCTCCCTCTTTCTCCTTTTCTTTCTCTCTCTCTCTCTTCCTCTCTTTCTCTTTCTTTCTATCCCTGGACCTCATACACGCAAGGCAAGTGCCACATTCCTAACTCACCTCCTATTTGTAACAAAGAAATTGAATACATCATACTGTTTTTCACTTAATATGTTTTACTGTCTAAGATAATAACTATGGTAACATACCATTTCAATGTCTACATTATGTTTATTTGTACAGAACCTTACATATTGATGACCTCATCCTTTATTGTTTTAACATCTAGTTTGGTTCAAATTTGCACTATCTTAAACACTGATGTGATGAATGATCAAGTCATACACATATATTTTACTTCTAGGAAGTCAATGATCGAAGGTAGTGAATAAAGCAACAGAGAAGTATGAATTTTGGTGTAAAAAGTTTGCCTTTGAAGTTTACATGGATTTTCTCTACCTACCTGCCTTGTAGAAACAGACTTGCATTTCTGCCAATAAAGGAGTAAAGAAAACACATGCTTTTGACTTGCAAAGTAGACCCTTTCCCTCTACTCAAGCTAAAAGGAAGCAACTAGAGGAATCCATTTGAATTTGTTTTACAAGAAGGAACTAGGATAACCTGGGGGAGAGAATGACTAAGTCTTTCAGAGTTCTCCATTGCTTTGTGGTGGTAGAGGTGGTAGTGGTAGGGGTGAGGGTGGGGGTGGGGCTAGGGGGTGAGGGGAGTGGCCATGAGGCCAGCTAGTGGCTAATTAGATGACTCAAGTTCTGTGAACTCTGGACTGGCTAGAGAGATGAGCCCTGTGTAGGCTGATGGAATGTCAATAGAGCATCATGACAATCTTGCCTCAGTAAAGATACAACATTAATTACATGGTGGGAACTCAGTGACTTAACACCCAGCCGTGTGTGAAAAAATAAAAAGAGAAAGATCTGAATGTTGATCAGCAGTGAGGGGTGGTGCCCTCACAGCTAATCACAAGTCAGTTAAACTCCCCCCCCCCCCCCCCCAACCCCCAGGTATGTCATTCTACTCTGGGCTGAGATGAGACCTGCATTATTGTTTGCTCTTCTGACTGTTCTCCATCATTTTGGAACTACATCACCTGAGATGGGGGAAGGGGGAGGGGCTTGGGGGAATTCAGGCCATTTCCTCCGAAGAACTAGCAGAAGAACAGGATGAAGAACAAAAAAGAAGAGGGGCATGAAAAGGGTTTTTCGGTATTTTGTTTCAAAATTTAAAATACCTTTATGATTTTTTTTAATGTTAAAACTACTGATATGCAATACAAAAAGGGTCAGCCCAGCCAGAGAGGAGAGAGAAGAGAAATCTCCCTGAATTGCAAGATTCAAATGGGGTGTGACTAATGATCTTGGGGTCTTTAATAATTTTTAGTTTAATGTCACTATTATTGTGATTCTTATCAGGAACTATGCCTGGCAGAGATTGACCCATGTCAGCAGTCTTTGGAGGATATACAATGTCAGGATTTGAATTCTTTACCTTGCACTCGCCGGGCAAGTATATTCTCTACCACCCATTCCATAGCTCTGTGCACCATTCATGCTTCTAGACAGCATTTTGCAAATACATATGTTTACATCATATTCCTTTTTAACATAAAATGCATACTAATCTTTTCTCACTCGACAAACACAATGCTACGGACAACTTTCTTTTTCTCTTTTTTTTTCTCTTTTCTCAACATCAGCAAGTTTATTAAAAATGGAGGAAGCCAACTCTCCTGCCTCCCTCCCAGGTGCAGAGGGGCCTCAAGGAAGGTCCGAATTACAGTGCATCCTACAGGCAGAAGACAGGACAGAGAGGAGAGGGACTGCTCCCTGCCCCCCTCCACCACACATTGAGGTGCTTCCGGACCTGGGTTTCACCTTCCCACATCAGAGAGTGGACACAGTGAGCCGAAGCCCCCTTGACTCTAAGCCACAAATCTCACACATGGTCACATGGAAAGCTGCGGGTGATTTTCAACCAAGACCAGACTCTGGACGGTCACCCAAGACACAGCCCCAGCCGGCCACAGGGTTAGACCTACATGGGGAGCACTACGGATGTATTTCTGTGTCAACTAGGCCACCGGATTTAGTGGTGATTTAGAATTCTGTTAATTGAATAAAGATTCCCACCTTCCTTCTCTAGTAACTGGGGCCCAGCCACATACGCTTGGTTGTAGTGCTTGAACATTATATGGCAGTGGGCTAGAGGTGCATATTTAGGTGCCAACAATTCCACAAATGCACTTTGCAGCTGGGGAGCAGTGCCAGGGATCAAACTTGAGACTTCATGCCTGCAAGCTGGGCAATCCATGATTGTGTTATGCTCAGACCCTGTAGCCATTTTTTTTCTAGTGGAATATTTCTTAAATATTTTTTTTTCTGTTGTAAATGTACATTTTAATCAATAGCTACAGCTTCTATCATTATCTACTTGACTAAGAAGTTTAGGATAAATTTGAGAAGTAAAATTCTGACTATTTTTCCAGCTGAAAATGTGATATTTTTAAACTTTTCTCCAGAAAGATTGAACCTGTCTATACTTTTACAATGGTCTTGTTCTTAGTTATATTTCATGTCACTGTCACTGTCACTGTCCTCCCGTTGTTCATCGATTTGCTCGAGCGGGCCCAATAACGTCTCCATCATGAGACTTGTTGTTACTGTGTTTGGCATATCGAATACGTCATAGATGTAAATTACTGGAGCACACACATGCATAATTTTTTTAATTAATAAATTACCAGTAAATATCCTTTGCTTTCGAATAAGTATGAATTTCCTGTAGATGTAATAACTATTTCTCATACCTACTACATACAATACATAGCTCCCTCTCCCTGCTATCCCCTTCACTCCCCCTCCACCAATTGAACATGATAGTGACAGTGTTTGGTTGGTTTTGGTTAATGTTTTTTGCTTAAAAGGTAAAGGTAAAGGCCCTCTGGTTGTTCGTCGATTTGCTCGAGCGGGCCCAGTAACGTCTCCATTGGAGACTTTGTTGTTACTGTGTCTGGCATATCGAATACATCACAGGGAGCTTGCCAGGCTCTGCCATGCGGGTGAGATACTCTCGGTAGCTTGCCGGGCTCTCCGAGAGGGGCGGAGGAATCAAACTCGGGTCAGTCATGTTGGCTGCATGCAAGGCAAACGCCCTACCTCTGTGCTATCGCTCCAGCCCTTTGAAAGTTCAGCCCAGTTTTTTGCTTAATAAATAAAAAAAATTTAGGCGACCAATTTTGTTCATTTCTTTTATCCTTCAATATTTTAAGTGATTGCTATGTGGTAGAAGATTCAGCATTTACTGAGTCTGAAAGAGACAGATCAGTCCATTGGAGAAAAGTTGCAGCGTGGCTAATGTCAACTAAACAAAATCAATAACATTTTTCCCAATTAGAACTGTCAAGTGTGGCATGTGCTGCCTTGCAGGTTGTGAGATTGCCCATAATTAGGGGCTTTCAAACAGGGATCATACGGCCACCTGACAGGGATGTGTGCAGAATGAGGCCAGATGGTTCCCTGCATCCTGAATTATTTACAGGGAAGAGTTTTTAACAGGAAGACAATAATTTAATTCAACTCATTTCCCCCATCAGACTTCTTGTTTTCAAAGTTCTAATACCATGCCAAATTTGAACTTTCAAAGAGCAACACTTGGCTAACAAAGGATGCAGCAGAATGATCAATACTAAATATGAGAAATCATGCCAGGAGACTATGAGGGGTCATGTGGTTGAGTTTTCATATTTCACTTTCGTCACCTTGGAGCAATAGAAGTTTCCATCCAGCCAGATGAGGTCTAGAGTAGCTGAGCTCCCGCAGCTGGGAATGCAGATGGATTTGCAAGAGCTGAGGTCAAGCACAGACATGGCCAAGGCCTGTGTTAGCTCCACAACAAGGTGATTCAGGAAAGGGTTGGAGAATCAATATGGTCTGAGGCTAGTATTATACAACTGATAAAGGTTCGATGTAGAAAAGGAAGAAGAAATAAGCCCTTCCCAGGAAGTCTCAGAACAAAATGAGATCTGCCAATGTATTTGTTTTTGTTTCTGTTTTAGGGTCACACCTGGCATTGCTAAGGGATTATTTCTGACTCTGTACTCAGGAATCACCCTAGGTGATGCTCGGGGGGGGACCATATGAGATGCTGGGGATTGAATCCAGGCTGTCCATGTTCACTACACACTGTAATATCTTTCCAGCTCCACCCCTGAGCTGTCTTCTTGTTCTGTCTCTAGTTCCACCTTACCAGGTGGTCTTACCAGGTGGTTCCACCTTACTAGGTGGTCTTACCCTTGTTGATCTTGGGTCACTTTTATTTGATAGATAAGAATGACTGGAAATAATTGGAGTCAAATTTAGACTGAGAAGAATGGTCTCATCTTTATTTCATTTATTTGGATATTTGTTAGCTCATTTATTCAACCTGTATAATGTACTTGTAGCACACGCAAGACTTTGGCAATTCAGCAATAAACAGAAAAGTAGCCACTCGTAGGCCTAGAGGGGGAGAAAAACTTGAAACTATTAAGGACAGCATAGACTGGAGAAAGATTTGAAGTACACGATGCATCGGTTGATCATGGTCATGCCATTAACATTTTTAGAGAAGTCCTCTGGAAAAACTAAAATTGAAGTAGAAATTTAAAGAAGGAGGGAACATACCAGAAGTAGGCAAGAATGAAGGAGACAAAATGAGATAGAAGCTGGCGCCTGGAGATTTAGCTCAAGGGTAGGGCACCTGCCTGGCATGCTTGAAGCTGTTAGTTCAATTCCCAACAGAGACTCTCCCCAGGGCTAGGATCCTTGGCACTGCATTGTGATCAACCCAGTACCGCAGCAGGTGTTCAACCCATGATGAGACTATAGCCAAGTACATGAGTCTGATTTTGCAACATTAACAAGAGCAACAACAAATTGAAGGGAAAGGGAGGAAATACTATACATGGTATGGCAATGTATTAAAAAACTTAAATATTATAAAACTTTAAAAGATGGGAGCAGTATAAATGTTTCAGGGAGAGTAAAATCTTGAGCTAGGGATTGGAGCCAGAGAGAAATTTAGATTTTTACGTCTTTGCACTGAAATAGTGCTGCTTCGGATGTAGTGGAAAGAACCAGCATTTCAAATAAGGGATCGGGTGTTTGGCTTTTCATCCTGACAGTTCCTGACTATATGACCTTGGTAAATAATGCAATCTGTCTTAATTCCATGTCCTCATCTACCAAATGGTGATAATAACACCCACATCACAAGATTATTCTGAGAATGGGATGTGCTAATGGATATAAAATTGGCCACCATGGGCTAGATTTTAAATACCTTAAAGCATTCTCGGGGAAAGCTGTGAAATACTTATGTCTAGTACTTTCACCAAGCCCAAATCGTTCCTGTTTTCTGTGGACATGTGTCCATGAGATTGATTGACAGACTTTATTTTCTCTCTTCCTACTTTTGGTCATGGATACTGAGAACATGGAAAATGTGTCAAGGAGAGATGTAAAGCTGTAGACAGGGAATTTGAGGGAGAGAAAATTAATCTAAAGTGGTGTGTGTCTTCTGTAATGTCTATCTCCACCTCCACCTAGTCTGTATTCTGTCTAAAGTAGGATCTATAAAGTATGTCACCTTCTTATACCTGGTGGTAGGATTCCCCAGGGATTCACAAGTTGGTGCTCGGCAAATCCTAGTGAAATACCACACAAGAATGTTTGAGAGAGGCAGGAGAGATAGTACAGATGGAAAAGTACTTGCCTTGTATGCTGCCAACCTGGATTTAATCCCTGGCACTCCATATAGTCTCCTGAGCATTGTATGCAGCTAGAGCCAGGAACAAATCCAGACCACATCCAGGTGTGGGCCCCCAAACCAAAAAAGAATGTTGAAACAAAATGAGCAGAATTTAAAGAGTGGTAGGGACTAGGGATGTGGCTCAAGTGATAGAGCACATGTCTGGCGTGTGCTAAGCCATGGGTTCAATCCCTGGTACCAGCTGCTGCCCCCCTGCCCCACCAAATCTGCAACAGCACTGATGTGACCCAGATAGCCCCCAAACACTCTGGACCTGAGCACGTCTAGGAATGACTCTGGATTTCCAAGCATTGCAATGTGAATCCACAGTTATAGCAGCAAATGGCACAGATCAAAAATGGATTATGGAAAGACAAATCTGGAAATCAGAGGATTTACAGAGGTAAGGTTGGAACTGTCAGCTTCCATAGATGTTGCCAAAGAGTTGTCAAAGGGGCTGGATCATATTATCTATCCTATCACCTGTGAAGTATAAAAAATCCAACTCCTTGATGTTCTTATGTAGCATCATCAATATTTTCAGATTTTAGCAATTTCTGGGGGGAGAAAGTTTATCTTATTTTGTATTTGTGAAATGACTAATGGTTTTGAGCATAATTTCACATGAGTATGAGTCCTTTGATTTTATATATATATATATATATATATATATATATATATATATTTGAAGTAGCAGTTCAAGTCTTTTGCTCATTGAGAAGAGTATTGACTGTTTTTAATTAATTTGGGGAGCTCTTCCTACTTGATGGAGAGAAATCTTTGGTTGAATATATTTGTCGCAAATCTCTTCTTCCTGTCTGAAACTTGTCCCTTTATTGTTCATAGTCAATTCTGATGAAAGAAATTTTAAATTTTAAGGGAAAACAGTGTGTCTAGTCTTTCCTTTCAAAGGCTGGTTCTTTTGTGGATAGTTTAAGAAAACTTTACCTTTCCTGAGGTAAAGAAGATATTCCACATTTTAAACGGAGATTTTTACTAAAGTTTTATTTTGAAAGAAAACTCCAAATCAAGAGAAAAGTTGCATGAGTAGTTAATGCACACAAATGAATTTTGTGTCTTTCACTTATATTAAAATAACAAATACATAATTTTAATTTTTTGTTTGATTTTGGGCCATACCTGGCATTACTCAAAGCTTACTCCTGGCTCTGTGCTCATGGGTCACTCCTGG